AAAACATATAAAAAAATAATTGACTTTATATGCAATTAGAACAGCTTCATCAGATTAAATCTAAAAAATCTGAAAAAAATATATGTTAAAATATGTGATATTATCTTTATTTAATATAAAAATAAAAAAATATTTATTAGTAAAATTAAAAACTTTTATATTTTTACTATGTTTTATTAATAAATTTGTTTTAGTATTCCATTCTTTTTGATTGCTACTATATATATTTGTATTTTGTAGATATTATTTAATAAGTTATTCTAATTGCAAAGTTATTACAAAAATTTTTTATAATTAAAATATAAAATTAATTATAAAAATTTTAAATAAAATCTAAAAAATCTAGAAAATTAATTACAAAAATTTTTGCAATTTAGTACAACTTTATCAAATAAAATCTAAAACAAAAATTTTATTTTTACTATACTTTATTAATAAAATTACATGTATAATTTTATAATTTTATTATTATATTTTTTATTTTTATATCAAAATAAAAATCACAATTCTGGATTTTTTAGATTTAATTTGATAAAGTTGTTCTAATTGCAAAAATTTTTATAATTACTTTTACATTTTAATTATAAAAAAGAACAACTTTATCAAATTAAATCTAAAAAATCCAGAATTATAATTTTTATTTTGATATAAAAATAAAAAAATATTTATTAAAAACTTTTATAAGACAAAAATTTCAATTTTTATTATGTTCTATTGATAAATTCACATGTGTAATTTCATAATCTTGTTAGCCACTATATAATTTTTAATTATAATATCATTTTAATATTAAAACAATTTTAATAATTATTTTTAGTTATTTAAATTATTTATTAAATAATATAACTTACAAAAATAATATATCACTTAAAAATGCAGAATTGTTTTTATATAATATTTTCAATTTTACTAAATTACAAAGTAAATATAAAATTTTTTACTATATTTTAATTAATAACTTACTTTGCAATTAGAAATTTTGGATTAAATGCAAAAAATTCGAAAAATATATTAAACTATAAATTAAATATAAGAGAAAAACCTGCGTTTTATCAATAAATTTTGATGGCCACTGTATATTGTAATTAGGAACATGTAATTTAATGAGACAAATTATACAATCGTATACTAGATAATTCTCGAGCTTCTTATATTATTACTCAATTTAAACAAACAAGAGAATTTAATTACTAAATTCCGCCATATTAGCGGAATGTCAGTAATCCCGTGATTTCAAACGATAACGTCATCGTTAACTGCGGCAAATTTGACTTTTATTCCGCATTTAACTCGGAGCGATATATGTATAATTAATACGAAAGATGTTCACGTCATAATTCCCTTTTAACATTGAAAATTCTGGCATGGGAAACATCTATAATAATACAAACCTGTTTCGATCTTTTTGTGTTATCTGAGAATTAATATAAAAGAAATTTTAATGGATTCAAAAATATCGAGAGAACAGAGTAAGCATGGCGGATAAGAATAAAAATACGGATAAGGATAATGATAATGAAAGACAGACTCAAGTAGAAGAGGGCATCGTCACGCCATCAACAGCTACAGAGACCGTCATAGCTATCCAAGTTGAGTCAGAAGAAAAACGTAAACCAACTAACCAAAATGATAAAAAAGACAAGGAGATACTAGCCGATTATTCAAAGAGACTTGAAGTTGGAGGGCGAAAGGTTTTAGTTGTTGATAATGAAGATAATGTTGTTAGCGGTGAAAGAGCAACGAGCTGTTGTGTCTTAGGGTCTCCAGAGCATGTAAGCTTTATTTAAGAGGTCGTGAGTAAAATATTATATTATATATTATGTATGGGTTAGTTTCTGATTGAATCAATCAGTTTTGTCGTTCATGCTCGAATCTCAATTTGGAAACTCTAAATACGGAGTTTTAATCGAAGTATATAAGCATAAATTTTTGCTGATCACATTGCAATAGGAAGATTTGCCGTATTTTCAGATGTAATTTAAATTTCATTTACTCTTTAATAATAGGTTGCAGCGCTTAAAGCCAAAATAGATGAATTAAAATTGAACTCGGAAAGAATAGAAAGAGAAAAACAAGAAGCTCTTTCTCAATCTGAATTAGTATCAAAACAACTCGATACCCTTGTTGGGGAATTAAAACAATTAGGTCACAGCACAGATTCAAACTCTGAACAATCGATACATGCGACTGTTCATACTTTTGGAGCACTCCAGAAATTGGAAATTATTGCGGATGAAGATGATGAAGAACATGTATATGATAGATTAATTCGTCCCCCTCGTGTACGTCAATATTGGCACGATGGTACATTGCATCGTGAATTGGAAGAAAGATCATCAAGTTTCACGGAATTGTTTTGGGACTTGGTGTTTGTTGGGGTTGTTGGTGCATTGGGTCATAATTTGGCGGATAATATCTCGGTTAAGGGTACAAGAAGTTTAGAGCAATTTTTTAATACATTGTAAGTTTTGTTTATTAGGGAGATTGATTTACGACAAAAATGTTTAATTTAATCATCTTATTTTTTTGGATGTAGTTATCCAGTTTGGCGTATATGGCTTGATGTTCAGGTTTATTTAAATATGTATAGCTCGGATGATCTAGTTCAAAAGTTTCTGATGCTATGGGTAAGAAGCTTCTTAATTCAATTGATTAGTACTAGATGAAAAAATTATAATTATAATTATTAATTGATTATTAGGAAATGATTATCGTTATTACTATGGCTGCTCATTCTCACGACATCAAAGGAGCAACCGGTCGAATGTTTATCGGTATGGTTACATAAGTATAGTATTTAAATTAGTGTTTCGAGAATCTAAATATATGCTTTCAATTTATTTGTTTAGTTGCATATGTGATTGGGCGTATGTCCCTTTATTTTCTATATATGGGCTTGGCTCGAGTGATTCCACTATTTCGTGCTTCATTTGTCACCACTGCTTGGGGGATTTTTATACCATGTGTTTTGTGGATTGTCGCTATTTTTGTTCCTGACGAGAACAAGAAAGCATTGATTTGGTCAGCGAATGCGTTTGGTTAGTCGAGAAAACATGAGTTATTGTTCAAGATTCTTCTTTGTTGGTTAAAATTTACTTATATACGTCTCTTGATTTTAAATCAAAAAGATATTTTTTGGCACGGATTCATTCCGCTCTATAATCGATTTGGTACTAAAAACCCGGCTAATCACGTACACACGAGGGATTTTAAAAGAATAGAGACTCTAACAGATGAGAAAACGGGGGCTAAAAGTGGTGGTGAATTACCCCCGGTATCACCGATCTCTCCTCTTAATGCGAAGCCTAATCGTGTAATCAAAACAAGAGGCACCGAATATCAATGGAAACATAGAGATTGGTTCAGTGTATTTAAAATTCAAGAATATCGACCCGCTTTGAATATTGAACATTGGAGTGAGCGTCTTGGGATTTTCATTATTATTTGCATCGGTGAAATGGTAAGTTATGTGTATACATAGGTGATTTTATTCTCAATTTTCTTCTTGTTAAATGTGCCTTTTTTAGGTTTTTGCTATTATACATGAAAGTTGGAATGTAAAACCTGATTGGATATTGGGAAAAGTAAGTAATAGAAATGTTATTAGTTGAGCTGAACTCGTATTATCTAACCACTAAGATCACTCACTAGTCGATTATGGGTTTATTGTTGGCATACAATTTACATTGGATATATTTTGATGTGGATGCCAGTCGACAATTTCAACACGCATTACGAAGACACGTGATAACCGGCTTATCGTTTGGTTTAATACATTTCCCTTTGGTATGTTTGATTTTATTTACTATTGCAAGATCTTCTCTAGAAATTAATTTCCTATTCTATCATATTAATATTAGGCGATGTCATTGATCGCAATGGGGTCAGTGTCTATATAATCAAAAGGTTAATAAATACCCAAAATATTATTTTTAACCTCCTTTCTTTGATTTTCAGAGATTCTTTATCAGTGATTGTCGCGGCCCGAGATTTTTCGGGTGGAGATCACATTCCTACAGGCCCTGACTCTGGTAGTCATGGTGAAGACGTGCAAGCCGCATCTACTTCTGCTACACAAACAAGCGTTGATAAAACAGTGTATTGGTTATTCTCTGGTTCATTGTCTCTAGCAATATATTCCATGGCTTTTATTGGAGTGTTGCATAAAGGATTAGATGTTCATAATTCATTACGAATTTCAAAGGTAAGCATTTGATTTTTTTATCGTTTGTTTCCGACATTTTTTAGTTACACTTGATTCTCTTCGAAAAAAATTCAGAAAACCCGAATTACACTTCGAGTAATAATTGGAACGATATATCTGGTCCTCCCAGTTGCCAATCTGAATTCTCGCGATTTTCTCGTAACCGTCTCGATGCTTTCCCTGTTTCTCGTGATTGTTGAAACATACGGACGTCTACGAAAGAAAGATCCATTGTTTGGTCGAGTCGATGATGATATCATCGGCGATGCGAATGGGGAAGTAAGTCGTCGGCGATATATTAGATGGCGATGGGGTCCTGCTACTTTAAATCAGAGTCGATGGTCACGTGGTATTTTAAAACGAAGACGAAGGAAAAATCCATCAGACGAAGGAAACGAGATTAAGGAAGAGATTGTAACAGATGAGGATGGCACGGTCATGGTAGAATTTGATGATGAAAGTAAACATCTGTAATTCGGTGGTCTCTTTTCGGTTAAGATGGTCACAAAACCTAAATAGAAAGTCAGCAGGGACACGATGATTGTTTCATAGGTGTACAAGTTCGACTAAAATATTACCCTTTGATTTATAGAATTCATTTAGATTATGTGTTATTATTGATGTTTTGTAGACTATTGGCATTCATTCATACATTTACCCATTCAATCAATCAATTGTTCTCGCGTACGAACATGGATTCTTTGTTTTGTGCATAGAAAAATGACTGACTTATGTGAATCATTGACTGAAAGGGATCAAAGCTTATCCTTTATTTTGATCCAAAAATTGATGATAGTTATTTTTTTGAATGGTCAAAGAATTATTTGACATCATGACGCATATACTTGACATTGTTTTGTTTTGTTTATTTTATTTGGATGGCTGAATGAAATGTTCTAGACAGTATATTGTGTATGTATATGTGTATGTGTGTGTTTATGTGTGTGTGTTATATATTCACTCACTTTCTCCCTCCCCGTTTGGGTCTTTCGCAGCCATCTCATAGATCATACATCTGGATTGCAATCGAAGAAGTATAATATTTCATATGATGTCCCAATTCAATTAGATGAATCAACGAATTCAATGGAATGTGCGGTTGCTTGGCATTCATCTAAAAGATGAATCGTTCTTGCGCGTTTCTGAATAAATTGGATTAAACGATGACCAATTCAATCGATGAAATAGGAAATATAGAATGCGTTGGATTTTATTTTATGGATAAATTTATTCAAAGTCTAAAAAGAGCCGAAAAAATAAAGAAGATTGGTTGTATTTTTGGCTCATAAAAAATCTTTTTGGAAGGAAAGACAAAGAAACCTACGTAACCCCACACGAAAGAATGCAGCAACAGTATAAAAAATTGCGTAAATCACAATGTTCATCAAATTATATCTCATATAGAGAAAACAATGAACAATGACCATGCAGTCACACAATGGTCTCATTTCCTGTTTCGATTGAACCTTCCATGTAGATGCTTGACATCCAAATATATACATGCTTGTTGATACATAATTAGTATTCTAAATTGCGATATATTATTATATTTTACGCAGGTAACAAGAAAAAATTCTCAAACAATCCTGCAACAAATGTGTACGAAAAAAAAAACTGATAGAAAACGTGGATTGGATTTACAAAGAAATTTACATTTATGGCAAGGATGTAAATTGAAGCTAGAAAGTGAACGGGATTACTGGATTTAGAAGCAGATTATTATCGATAAAAAAAAGAGGCGGGAGATTGTATCTTCAATGGAAGAGCAAATAAACCATTGAAGAATGTTGTGTTTCAGGTGGTGTGTGATTTGTGACCTTTAGTAACGCATTTATTTACCAAAATGAAACGGGTTTCCTGTTGCGTGTAGGCTTGTAATGAGATCGATTATGATGATTGAAGTTGGACTACACCAGATTGGCAGTTTTTCTTGACAATCTGAGCTACTAATTTATCCGAATTATTGATTTTTTATTACATTGAAACGATTGTCAAACTAACATCTTTGTCAATGTAAATTACACAATGATCTCGTATTTGTCAAAAAGACAATGCCCTGATCCAAAGGGAGGGGGATAAGCATAAAGCCATTATTGTTTTGGCAAACAAAGACGTTTAAAAATGTTCGGCGACAATGCTCGTTGTCTTATTATTGTGTGTTACTGTCATTTTAAAACAACAACAAAAATCTCATGTTCAAGCAGCAGAAAAACGTTAGGATGTTCGATGATTAGACGAGTGATTGGATAATTCTTGGTACTCAGACAAGATTGTTGGTACTCAGGCAAGAAAGTCATCGATTAAATTGGGCAACAAAAGATTCCATTCTTCTTCTTTTAGTCTTTGTATACATACGGCACTATAACGAGAAAATTATAGAAAGAATAAAGAAAAAATAAATGTATTCGGAAGCATTTTTCATTATATCCAATTACCTCGTATTTACAATCTGATCGTTCACAAGTACACCCCCCCCGTCTCATTGCCACAAAAAAAGCGCAGCACGAAACCAAAAACCGAGAAAAGCAGCAAGCCACATAAGTGATCCAACAAAAAGTATTTAGATTTCTATCATCGATTGCAAATTATTAATTCTAATTAAAGGCAATTGGACACCAGAGTATCAACTAAAAATCGTTGTCTGATTTAGACAAGGAATAACAAATCTCGTGTCATTCTTAAGGTTATATCTCTTTATTTACCAATTTAATGTTGCACAAATAAAATATTATAAACTAGAAATGATAGGTTCCGAAAATTTAGAGTTTAATTTAGTATGACCAAATATAACCAAATATAAAGAATCGGGCAATTTAGCAACCAGATTAAAATATAACCAAATGTAAAATCGTCAAAGATTCATGCAAAACGCACAATGTCATGACGTATGGATAATTTCAAGTTGTAAACAAGTTGGTTGGTTTCGAAATCAACATGGCAATATGAACTTTAAATGTGTGTCCATCTCTAGGCAATCAATATACACATATATGTACAATGTACAATGTAAAACTTGTTTTGAAATGACAAAATTTCCCTGGATTATCGTCTGGTCAAAGCGTTATATAGCCAGAAAGTGATTATCGTTAAATGCCATCATACCGTTTTGTAAACGATAACGGAGTCTATCAATTTCTTTTTCGGTATGTCCAATGTGTAACGTTAAAGTATAATGTGATTTCATTTTCGAGATTGTTTTTAGGGTATCATTATGTTTGATAAAAAAAAAATCTTGGATTTTGAGACTCATTTCATATATGTACAGTGTACAGTCAACGCTGATTGCAGTAACAACACCCTTTACAATAACTTTTTTGATACAGTAGCACTATCAGCCTGGAACGGAATTTCTCTAATATATATTTGCATCTATATAGAATAACATTTTGGATGTCCCGATCACAATGTTGTAACTAAATTTAGCATATCATACATACAAAGCTATAAAGTTAATTTCTTCCCTCTATACAAACATAAATAGCAACATTCGACAAGTCAATAGAGAATTTCACATTTCAGATGACAATAAGAACAATGTGTATGATCTCCAAGTACAGAACAAATTTTGACACGTTCCGTGTAAGTTATGTAATATCGCGCACGCGATTCAATCAAATTCAAACTCATTGATTTGCATACGTGTATGTAAAAGGAAATAAACAATATCTACTTTCGAAAGAAAAACAAACACTTTTTTTAGCAAAGTATGAAAATAGATCAATTATTGTGTCTATGCTTGGCTGAATGAAAACCGAATATCATAAATGCAAAAGACCCGAAAAGTAACGATTGTTGAAATAAGACTTTACATGTATGAATGTATGAATGATTGATTGATTTACTTTAAACTAGTGCAATAAATGATTATCCGAATGATAGAAAGAATAGTATTATTCTATAACCTAATAACCAATCTTATCCATTATTTCCTATTGTATATACGTTTTAACAATAATCGGTTGCCCGTATACACGCGAGTGGTGAACATGATAACATACATGACATTTGCTAGATGAACCTTGTCTACCAAATGGTCCTTAGATGACATTCAATTAATTTAATGACCGACAGGCTGGAAACCACCGATAGTCTAAGAAAAAGTAACAATCCTAATGAATATGATCTTATTTTCATTATCCATTGTTCACAAATCAGGCAAGCAAAAGATTTAAAACAATAAGTCGGTTTAAAAATCGGGCAAATCTATTAATTTCCGTATTTGGAATTCTGTCCTTCCATGGGTTCGGGTGGGACATGCCAAACAATATATAACTTTACATTGTGTCGATCATGATATATTCAAGGTTTTGACGTGCATACATTCTTATTGTTATCATTATTATTCTTGCCATCATTCAGAGATATCCCGAAACTCCAGCTAGTGTGGAGTTCCGTGCGCGAAAAACTGTTATTTACTTTGAAAAAGAGAGAGCACAAGAATGCGCACGAGCGAATGTCGTTCTATGGAAAGACACGTCAAATTAATGAACGTGGAAATTATTTGCATACAATGCATATCGACATAATCTTTGAGTTACTCGAGTGATCTCAATTGACGTGCATCAAGTTTTTTTTGTGGAGTTGAATATTGTGGGGTAATAAATGATTATTCGAGAATCTGATCAATATACCAACCAGTAATAATAATAATAATACAGATTTCAAGTTACTTTTAGATGAACAAGAACATTTTTCTGGTAAGAAATCAAAATGTCTGCCAAGAAGATATCGTTTGTAGACAATATAAACTATTTTATTACGACCATTACCTATTCGGTTCCTTTCTATTGTTGGTAATGAAAGTTTTAAAAATCGGAAGGTTAATTGTCTCTTTTTCTTAGCATCATTTATCAAGAACAATGCCTTCTTCTAGCGTATCAGATGAGAAGTCAATCATAAACATATGTGTGCGTACGGATATTTACGCAAATATGAAGTTAAGCAGCCACAAGCTCCTGTGCATTAGTTTAATTAAATCACGCACGCAACGCATTGACCCACGATCTCCATGATTAGTTTCTAGCGGAAAAATTCTTTTTTTCACACACATAAACTTCGGGTCATTGACAACAGATTGACTTAATTATCAACATCATCAGCGCAAACGAAAAAAAAAAACAATCCATTCTTGGCAACCATTCTTTCCTAATTGGAAATTCAAAAATCATTGACAGTTTGACGCGCGTAAAAATTCTACATGCAATCCCTTTTCTGTTTGAAATTTACAATAACCCATGCATAATTAATCAATATAATAATATGATCTAATGATGACGATTCGATAAAATAATAGAAACAGACATTGTTCAGATATTAAAATAGTCGATCACAAACAAACAACTCAGTTCTGGTAACATGTTGTGGTCAAAACTTTATCAACAATCTCACGGGGTTTCTATTGACATCGGTTTGTCGATTAATCTGCTCACCGTTTTCGGGATTCACAATTATTAGTATTATTGTGATTACTATTATTATTTCGAAATTTAAGTCGTCATCAATGTGTTCCCACGCAGAGGATATCTCATAACGCACTAGTGTTGTATGAACGAATAGATGAATAACAATAGGTCTTTGCGGTAATTCTCAAATACCGTACCATTTCCTAGACTTGTGTTCCATTTTCGACTAAACAAGGAAAAATATTGCCGGTCTCTTTAAAGTAACTTGATATGACTAGGAAAATCAAAATTACTGTCTGATAAACAAAGAGCTGGTAATAAATAAATAAATGAATGAATGAATGAATGAATGGTTGGATGAATGGTTGGTAGATCAAACTCCACGCTACCACATTGTCTCAAGTATTAAAAATATAGTTTTTGGTTTTCATGATCGTCATCATCCTCATAATTTCTTTATTTTGTCAATTTGCAAACGATGGGAACCAACCAGGCAACAACGAAACAGTATACACGAAATTAATTTTTTATTCGGATTTACATCCTAATTAAAAATCAAACCTTGTTATCAGGGAAACTCGATTTTGATGTGTTCACCGTTTATGGTAAGAGGTAATAGGGTGATAGTAACAAAAGTTGCTATTCGTTCTTCCCTAATCATTATTTCGGATTGTGTTCGATACACCAGGAAAAAGAACGAACTTTGTGCTTTGTTTTTTGATATTCATGGGTGTGGTTGTAAATTTAGTTGCGCAAGTCTTTTTGTTCCTTTGTCAATCATGGCGATCTTTCTCATTTGATTGTTTTTTCCTGGTGTGTATATGCATCGGTGTTGCCGAGTACCAGGACAAAAACATTTTCGTTTGATTTGTCGGCAATTAAAAAACACAACGAAATCCTGTTATCCATTTTGAGTCTATATTAATATATATGCTACAATAAAAATAAACTATTACAACAAAAAAAAAAGCACAAAAAAAACCAGAAACAACTCGAGTTTTAATCTTTGTGTTGAGAATAGACAAATCTGTACATTATTATCATTACACGCATACAAACAAAGTATTTTAAAAAAAAAGAATAACAATAAAATTTATGAATAATAAATGATATATATTATATGTACAGAACAAAATAATATATATAGGCAGACAACAGCCCCCACAGAAAAATCAAAAATCGAACGCAAGAATCAACACTTGATCTTTAAACACAACAACAACAGCAAAAAATAAAATAACAAATAGTTCAAATTTACGAAATCTTTTTGAATATATCCGCCAAGAAAATTTATTCAAAGACAAATTAACGATATGCCTTCAACAAACACTACTGTCATTCCAACTGCCGCTTCAGACGCCACCAACAAAATGAAGGAATACGAAGTTATCGTTTTCTCGCATGGTACCGATTCTAATAATGCTACCGAAACTAGTAGTGATGATAATTCTTCATTCCAGCAACCTCTTCGCGCTGCTAAAACTAAGCATATCACTTGTAATGGTCAATCTGGACAAATGTTTTGGATTCCGGAAGGTTATCGTCCACTCTTGGTTCGTACCGCGGATCTCCCATTGTTGGTTGGTGCGGAATTCCCACTATCGCCTGGATTGTCTTCAGACGAAGAATCAAACTAATGGATTGTCATCGACGAAAAAATAATACAATTCAACAACTTCACTACCATAATAATCATCATCAATAATAACAACAACAACAACAACAACAACAACAATAATAATAATAATAATAATAATACAAAAAAATTAATATTTTTTTATCTTATTCGAAATTCTCTTTGATAGAGATTTCCCTCAAATCCCTTAATTTGCAAATATTAATATTGTTTATCGCTTTACTATCTACGATATTGAAAATGAGAATACCACGCACGAAACAATTGGTTTTTCTTTACTTAATTAATTCAACCTTTTCAATGTCGCATTCAGTATAGATTGTAGATAAATTCTTTTTGCCGCGAGAGATTCAAACTTATTTTCTCTCTTTTGGGTGGTCGTTCTCAAAACATCATTTTATCTCCAAAAAATTCTATACCCAAAATCTTGTAATATTTCCCAACACACAACACTTTTACTTTGAACATATTAATAGCAAATAGATTTTTTTGTAGAATTTTCTTTGTAATTACCACCCAAAAGTATTTTTTTTTTTAGTTGTCATTCCATTAATATTCATAATTATCCCTCTTCCATATCTCGGAAAGAGCCACCAAAAATATTGTTTAAATTTACCTCTAAGTTTTTTTTACGAATCTTATAGCTTAAATAATCTAAAACCCCTATCCAAGTGCCTTCTGCGTTCATTTTTCATGTAGAAGCACTTGTTAAAAATCAACACTTTTAAAAACCAACACTTGGTAAAAATCAACATTTAAAAACAAACTTTCTATAAGAAAAGCATGATTAGTTCGATAATTCAAATCAAATTGGGCTTTTTTCGGTTGGTGATGGTAGAAATCATGGAATATAAAAATCAATCATATGTAGTCTTAAGATTTCAATTTTTTTTTTGATTAACATGCAATTTTTCTTTTATACATATTTGTCTTTGGTACATAGCATATATATAAATAATGTAACAAAAAAATGTCAAACTTTTTATATTTGAACGAATTCGTTCGATTTAGCGAATAATAAACTCTACGCTATTGGAAAAAAAAATAAATGAGTTATTTCTAAAGTGCTACATGTATTACGTATATTGAAAATTAATGTCGTGTTAATTTTTTCTTTCTGCGAAGGCAGCTTAATCCTTGTGCTTTCAAGGTCAGTGGAAACCTAATTCTTGTATCTGCAAAGAAACAATGCGTGCATCTTTATTTTTCCTTGTGCACTTTTGCAAAAAACCATTTTATTTTTTTGGTGTTTGCCCTAAGGGTCCTCGAATAACTTTTGAACTGCGAATTTAGATTTATTGCCATTGACAATGTGCAAAAATCGCAATGATAAAAATCACAATCTTGTTAAACTGTCGGATGTGTCCGTTGACCATCTATTTCGAGTTAGATGTATATGCATGCTCTTACATTCTACCTTAAAAAACTTGCTTTAGACCAAGGGTTTACAGTAAGGGTAAAGAAAATTTTGTACAAGCATAAAGAAATAAGTAGTAATCTCTCCTTTTATAATCAGCCTGTTTTGTTATATTTTTTCATGCTATAAGCCCGTTTTTGTGACTTGGTAAGTAGGGTGGTTTATGCGGGCAAACTACGGTATTTGGGGATTTAAACTTATTTTCTGTGAAATAACATCGGCTCAATGAAAATTCAAGAAAACACGATTATTGTTTCAAATCGAAAGAATTCGCAGGAATTCTATGCATCTTATATTTACGTCATTGAGCGAAAATCCGACCCCTTAAACATGCCCACGCGGTGCGCAAATAAATTGATGTTATTATCCATATATATAAAATATGTTACAATCCTAACAATATTAACGTGAGTTAATAATTAATATTATGTATTTCGAGCTAGTTGCACACATATACACATTATTGGTTGTCGCAAAAAATTTGAATTACGACAAATATTAGCGCAAGATTGGTTTGTGCGGCGCCTTGTTCTTATCGTGAAAAAACACTTGCTGCAACGTGGATTTTACGATGCCATGTTAACCAAGCTTCGGAAACAAGGGATTAATTAGGCGCTCGATTAACTAAACATTAATGTTTTGCGTGTATAAAATTTGTTCAGATGATTAACGTGGTTTTCATTTGCAAAGAAGAGTTTTTTCATTAAATAAACAAAGATTCGATGAATTCTTTAATTTACTATGCATCGCATATCTGGATTTATATGTATTAAATTATTTGTGTATATAGAATTAAAATCCGCTGTTACTTATTCAACGCTTTTCCCCGTGTATCAAAAATTCGATTTTTAATATTATTCCATTTTTTCATTGTTGTCTATCGTTACCTAATACATTTTTCATCGAATAGCATCACGTGAACATTGATATGAAAAAAGCATCATCGTTATCGTTATTTCGAATAAGTAATCCGAAAAGTGATCATAAGATCACGAATTTTATCCTTTTCTATAGTTGTTATGATTGTTCAACTTAAAATCAAGAATTTATAACCGGTTTCGGCAAAGAAAATTATCAGCATTTCTCATTCTGTCGGAATTCAAAAAGTTAAATACCAAATGATTATGTGCAACGTGTGCACCCATGTCTATAAAAGAAATTCAGCCTAACTAAAATATGCAAGACTTGTGATGTTTTGTCGATATTTTGATGTTCATTTCATTCATCACAACCAAATTCATTGTCGGCGGTAAATAGTAACCAATCCATCTATGCTAATATAAAAAAACTGTACATTTATTTTGCTCATTGATATCGACTCGTTTACTCATGGTATACTTAAGTAACGCGCGTATATTTTTATGAACATTTATAATTTCACGCCTAGGTGTTCTTTCACCAATTACGAGCAAACCCTCCTGATAAATAACATTTCGTTAATATTGTTCTCGTTGATATTGTGTAATTGTTAGTGCTACGTATTGTACAACTACTTGTTATTATTATTATTATTATTATTATTATCATTATCATTATGAAAACTAGTAACCTCAATGACTATGCAGTATATACATACATATTAATGACACGGTCCTTGATTCATTGTACGCGTTTTTTTAGGGACGCGTTTTTTTGAGCTACAAATCCTGGAGTTATAAGTATCGCGAATAAGCTTTATAATATTAATAATATCCGAAAAAATAAACATTGACCTATTGACTCGGAAATGAAAAACCAAATAAAGGCGTGTGTTCGAAAAAGTAAGGAGGTTCTGTAAATATCAAAAACCAGTTAATAATTGGTGGCTATGCATTTTTATATTTTCCACTTTTATTTATCTTCGGCATGTGTCTTAACAAATTTTCTACACAGATAGATAGACCTCCATAAATGCACCCTCTATAAGCACATGCCCTCTTTCAATGCACTCTCTGATTCTGTGTTAAGCTATTTCTAAATTGTATCCGTCTCTAGGGGTGTCCTTATAGAGGTTTACATTATTGGAACCAACAAACTACTCATTATCTATCTATCATGGTAAGAGTCAATCCTTACTTTCCGCTGGTATAAAAAAGTTTAGTCTTGCCAATCTATTACTTACCCTCCTGAGCCAATTCTGTCGTTATCTAAAAATCATCTGTATAAATAATTGGCGTATCCATGTGCATCCTTATTTATGTATAATAATTTATACACTGCAAAATGCCCGGAGATACTATATGCAGTGCTCTACGATAAATGTTTAGTTAACCAAAGCATAACATTAATGCGCAAGAGCAATCTATTAAATACATGAAGTGTTTGTAATTTGAATAATAATAAGGGGCATTTCAAGAAAATGATTTCGGTACCTTTTGCAATAAATTCCGTGAAAGATTTAGAAATTGCACAATGCTTATAAGTTCGGTTCTGTAAAAAAAAACACATTAATTAAGAAATTGAAAAATGGTACAATCCATATCCATACGTATTCTGACCAATTAAAAAGGGAATTGTGTGTAACACATGGATTTATTCAAAAATTTTTCGCAAACTCTTCAAGTCTACATGGATGCTTTTATGATAATTAATTTTCTCGTGAATTCTATTGTTCTCCGATACATGAACGCTTATTGTCCCCGCTTAAAAAGTAAAAAGTTCGTGCATGCGTGTCACAAAGATTTTAACAATGATTGTTTAAAAATAAACCGCGCAGCAACAACAGTGAAAGCAACGAAATGAAAGAAAGATTATTGTGCAATAATCATGTGTATAAGCTAAATTGAGTGGTTGGCGTTCATAAGATCACATTCATATCTGGAATTCATTCACTTATCTCGTCTGTTTGGGCGGAAAACAACTAAATATAGCGCTTTATGTGCTTTATACTCTCTTGGTGGTACGATCATTGCGTATAAAAATGTACATGTTTTGTAACACAAAAATTTTATTTATTTACGCGCGTAGAAAAGACCCAGATTTTTGGCTACTTTCCTAAAAGTCCCGTTCAAAAATTGCTTCCCTTCACGTTTTTACAATCTTAAAAATATTTCCGGTATCATCAATACCCTTTAAAAATTAGGTAACTCGTTAGCCGTCAGAAACCTGCTGTGAATTATTAGTCCACACACCAATAGCCAAATTTCTCGCACAAAAAATTTGTTATCCATTCAGAAAGAACATTAGAAAGAGCACAAAGACGAACGCCCCACATATATAAAAAAAAGAATTGCAAAATATGTAATATAATTCGTAATGAATGGAAGACTATCTTTGAATCAATGAATCGGATTTTACTGTATAAGCAGTGTTATCTTTTATTAGATAAGTTTTTTCATCATTTTGCACATTCTTACCGTAAAAGTCCGAAAATAAGCAACTCCCATTTTTGAAGATAAAATCGGGTGAAAAAATATATTAATAACTTAATAAATTTAACCCCGAAAACAAGCTACCCCCCTCATTTTACCCTCCGAAAATAATGTAAAAAAGGGTTGCTTATTTTCGGACTTTTACGGTACCTATTTTATTTGTTCTCATGATCAAAAACGCATAACGCGAGTTAGTAGTATCAATAGATTTATTTTCATATGATGCATCATTGTATATTTTTATATTTTACGTCTTCAAATAAAATTGTATTATATAGAGGTCAGGTAAAATAAAATAGACTCTTACCAAAATGAGAAGCCCCTTGATTTCAAGGTTACATTCTCTAAAGACTAAAATTAGCATCATTAAAAAAAATAGGTCTTAAAGATTACTATAAACTTTTCTATTATAATAAAATATGATGTTATTTTTCGAACCTGGTAAATATTAATTTTTTTATTCCCGAATTTTTATTCCCCGAGACGAAACTTGGGAATTTGGCACTGATAAGTGACGTATATCTTATATCAAATAGGGTAGTCGATTATTATTAATGCATGTATACGGGACTATTTAAATAGAAATGATCCATTACCATTTTTTGGGTCAACACCCAGTGGTTGGATTCAAGTGAAAATACCACCATTCAACTCGACTTGACTAGACGAATTGAATGTTGAGGTATTATGACCCAAAAAATAGTAATGGTCATACTTTGCTCAGTTCCTGATCACATGCACATCACAAACGAATAGGAATGCGCAAATTTTTGATCAAACCGGCAAAACAAATCCGACACAAGAAAACGAAAGATGTGAAACGGATGCCTAAATCTAACTTGGAGCTCTAATAAAAAATTTCGGTGAGGCAGTTTTACATATAGATTTAATTGAACTCTAATCTTAACCATAACCATAACCATAACCCTAACCCTAAAATCAAGCTTTAATAGTTGCTAGCACACATATGATATTGGTTTGTTATCATGTGATCAGGAACCGAGTACAGTCTGAATCGGCAATCAAATTTCAAGATGTCGCTATCGAGCGGATACTAATGGACATTGCTAAATTGAGCGTGATTTTAATATAGTGGTCTAGAACAAGAGTCGTTAACTCGCAATTTCATTAAATCGCATAATCGTTAAATCGATCCTTAACTGTATGTCGATCATATTTTTAATTAATTAATTTTGGTCAAAATTAATAATATAATCGACATTGAAAAGTCTTTAGTCAGGGGATGCAAGTCCGGTTATCTGTCCGATAAACAAGCCAATAATAATGCGTAAATTTTTGATCAACCCGGAAAACAAATCCGAAGCACGAACGTAAAAAATGAAAATCATGGAAAATGTATGCTTTAAATCTATCTTGGAGCATTAATTAAAAACGTCGGGGAGACAATTTCACATATTCTAGTCCTCCACTTCTAACCCTAACGATAAAATCAACCTTTAACTATGAACACATATTACATGACTTCCAACGCCTAGCGCATCCCTTTAATTAGTATTTTGTCACAACATCCTCATTCTCATTGGTTAAAATTGGTGATCCGTTAAAGCCTAATGGGTCACGTGATTATTGACCAATCGGTGACAAAAATTTTATAGTAAATCACGTGAATACCAGGCTTTAACGAATTCCTATATGAACATCTTAACTCACCGATCACATGATTTTGTTTCAATTTCCTATATGCAATGTAACATAGCATTATATAATGCAACCAATATTATTGCATTGTACGTGACAATCAATGAATCTATTTTTGAAAATTAACTAATAAAATAATTTTCATGTGACAAAAAATCACATGATTTTGTTTTAAAACATAAAAATTATCCGAGTTTAAATGCTAAATATTATCAGTTTAGTTTTTTTAATTTTATTTCTATAAAGTGCTAGTTAAGTTGTCTTGGCACTATATATACGATAATAAAGGTTATTGTTAAAGATTAATTTAAAGATTAGGATTAGGGTTAGGCGCCAAGATTATCTGTAAAATTGTCTTTTCCGACACTTTTTTTAAGTGTATCAAGCTGGATTTAGGCATGTTTTGCTGGGCTGATTAAAATTTACGAATTTTTATTGGTTTGTGCCACCAGCGTACTTTGAAAATTCGAAATGATCAACATTAGTTGCTATATGGGTAATACTTGTCTATATTTGGAAGTTGATCATCAATTTTAGCCAATGAAAACAAATGCGTCGTAATAGTTAACGATTGACGTCGGTATGGATAAATTCCAATTGCCAAAAGAAAATTGCACCAATCCTATCGCGATATTTTTGTCTGTTTACCTCAATCCCATAATTTTATAATCAAGACGATCAAGCCTAAAAAAACCACTATATAAGTCAAAAAACCGCATTAATGATTAAGAACAAAATTGTTCAGTAGTTGGTTGGGGTTGCGCCTAACTGTAGCGTTGCTTATGACGAACAGAGTGATGAACAATTCTCGGCTGGAACTACAACTTCAATGTCAGCACGTTGAAAGTAGTGTCTCATCTGAACTTGATGTCAACATTCTAACTTGAGCGTAGGTTCGGAGTTAGGAGGTAGTTAAATAGCGAGGCATGCCCGAGGCTGGTAACAGAGCAGGGAAAACTTGCAGCATTAAGTGGCAGTGAGGTAGCACACATGAGTGATATGGTGTTGGAGTTGCCAGACGATGGGTTGAACTACCATTCGTTTTATACTCGAAATCAATGACACAATTCATAATTTCTATTATTTGATTTCGTCGATCACATCTTTATATGTAAATTGATAGAAAATAAAAATCTTGGCGCCTAATTAATCTAGCCTTTACTAGCTCTTTTTTGATCATATACATATATATAATATACACGCCCTTTTTCACCCGCCCACATATATATATATAATACACACACACGCCCTTTTTCACCCACCCACATATATATAATACACACACGCCTTTTTCACCCACCCATATATATAATATACACACACGCCCTTTTCACACAAACATCGAAAAAATGGAACAATCAGAAGTAAATATAATTGTTTTTTCACAAAAATGAAAATAAAGTATCTTCTTTTGTTTCATCAAATATATTCAATATCACTTAGGTGGTAATTTGGGAAGGTAAAACGTGGCCAGTTGGAATAATTTCACCTTTAATTTGCAGTTCTAGTAAGTGAATCGACCCATATCATTTACAATATATTGATATATATGTTGAATACTAACACCCCCCCCCCCCAACAGCTAAATGGCGCATCACAACTCGAAGAATTGACTATATATCTGGAATATGTGGAAGTGAAGAAAACACACTGGTATAGTTTTGTTTGAAATCAATTTCTTTAATGATTAATATTGAAACATTCTTTCATCAATTTAAGGATCTTAGAAGGATAACTGATCTCAAATATAAACGTTCATGTGTCCAGTTACTGGTGGGTCGTGGAACATTGACAATTTTTTCAAAGTAAGAAAAGTTGTTACTTTGAGCTAGAATTTCTTATTAAATAATAAAATAATTTTTTTTTGTTTTTTTTTGGCGTTGATTAATAGCGATAACACGGATCCCGTACTAAAAATATCAACCTGGGGAATGAAAAGAACATATCGGAAGCTAAAGGACGCTTGGTCGGCCGCTCGTATTGTCGCTTCTGTTCAACTTTAACATCATTATTCATGAATGGTCAATAAATATAAATACTTAACACGGACCTGTGTTTCTATTTGTAATAATAATATCTAAATACACATTAAAGAGAATTCTCTCTAAATAGCTAAGAGAAGTTGTGCAAGAAGATAAATACAATAATCTAAATAATTACAGAATATAGAATGCAGATTTTTCGCATTGTAAATAACAAGAGCAACATAAAAACGAAAAGTTAGATCTACTTCGTCGCTTCTTAAACAAATACTTTGGAAAAGCAGTCAAGTACAAAATAACTTGTTGTTTGATCTTAAGAAATTCATCGTTTTGTTTAATCAGAACATCGACAATAAACATCACAATGAATCAGTGAGTCTTTTCCAATTGCAATGGGTGAACGCGGTTTCCGCACAACAAACTTTGTTATAACATATTTAAAAAAGATAAAGAAACTATTAACCGTTTCTGTAAAAGGCACAATTCGTTTATCAAGAACATAGCTCAATCTTCGCAATTTTGAGGAGTTCCATCAATCACATTTAGACAAGACCACGAAACATCAATGCAAGATGTTTTTGAATAATATTTTGGTAATAAAACGGTTTCTTGAATTGATTAAAGACACGAATGGTATCAGCTGAAGAAGGAATAAAATGCTTTTAGTTTGTATCGGATATTCAACTCAGTAACAGTTTTTGAGCAAACAGTCATAATTCTTTCAGTCTTTGGATTAGCCAGCGGGATATATTTGGCACATGCAGCTTTTGAAAGTAATCACCATCCACGGAAGCTTGTTTTGCTCCCAAACTGATAAACTTCTTGATAAGTAACCGTTAATAATCTTTGACGTGATGACTTTCAAGTAGTGTTTGGAATCGGTTAATGATTAGCCGGTTGACCGGTTACCGTATAAAATACCCCTTGATAAAGTACCCCAAACAAAACGGGTACCGTCCAACATCCCGACGACCACAATCCCGACATCCCATATGCCCGACAAATGAAATCCCGAAAAGCCAACATCCCGAAAAGCCTACATCCCGAATGCTCAACATTCCGAACACTAACGTCCGATGGTTCAAAATCCCGAAATGTTAAAAAATGACAATTCAAAATTCCAACACATAAAATCATGAAATTGCATATATACTATTTATATTATGCTATGCCCTTATGTCAAGGAAAAAACGGCTCCCGAACTACCTCCGATCTGAAAATACTATCTTTTAACGCTAAATTTGATTTTAAGATTGGGATTAAGGTTAGAGTGGAGAACAAGGTTATATATAAATTATTATATAGCTTTTATACTTTTATGTAGTATTTTAATAAAATGGATAATAAAATAAAATGTTAGTTATCACACTATATAATAATTGAAAACGAAGCATATTTTAACAATTAACGCGCGTGAATTTTCTGGAGTTTGAAGTGTCGGGATTTTGAATTTTCAGGATGTTGGGATTTCGGGATGTTGAACTTTCGGGATTTCGTTTGTCGGGATTATGATTTTCGGGATGTCGTACCAAACACACCCCCTCTTTCGACCAGTCAAAATGCTCAAACCATGATTAGTACCCAGCATTTATCTTAATGGAATTGAGGTAAACCGCGATTAATCAAACTGTGGTTAACCACGGTTTAAATAAATAAATTTGATTTATCGCATCACATAATAGTGAGCAAATTATTATTTGTGAAATAATGGTTAGTAATTACAAGATACTCTCGATATAACCCTACGATTAAACTCTTGATATAGTGAATTTGAATTCAAACATTCCTCTCGTTATAGTGAATTTTGAAAAGTTTTCCGAATATATAAATAACCGTGGTTAACTGGTTAAGGATTTCTAAACGGCTCCGATCACTATAAAGAGCAACAAGTAAAAGTAACGCCATTCTCATCGACAAATCGTGTCTTTGATAATCGCTTTGGAAGACAAGATCCCATTCGTATAAATAATCTTTGCTGAATCATTGCTGGTGTCGCCACTGCCCATTTGGAATTGGAGTAATTGTTGAATTGAGGGAGAGTAAGATTTTTGTTGACATTTTTCTTTTTATTAATGAGGATATCATAATAATAGAGGTAAGGCATCAGGAGATTTTTTTACGTAGAATTTAATTTACGGATCCCATAAAATTTTTATGTATGCCACACACACGTACAGTACCCAAAAAGTATCGCCCGATGCAAGATTAAAAATAAAAATTGTGATCATTATTCAATTTATTTGATTTTTGTCAATTTATTTAATATTTAATCGGCCCTCCATTTGACTCCAATATCGTATTAATCCTTCGTGACATTGATGCAGTAACCTGTTCTAAAATGGCCACATCAATTTTTTCCCACTCCACCTTTAATGCGACCTTAAGTTCATCCACAGTCTTCGGAACGATCTCATTTTTTTTAATATTGTCCTTTGATATCTTCCAAATGTTCTCTATTGGGTTCAGGTCTGGAGAATTAGCCGGCCAGTTAATAATCGTGATTTTATTTTCCGTAATTTTTCCCGCAGTATGAATCGGCGCATTGTCTTGCGTAACTTCCAGTTAACGCCTTAATTGCGTTCTGGAATGGTAATAAATGAGTTTTTAAGATTTCAAGGTAAGTATTTGCAGTTATTCTTTCACCATTTTTTTATATTCAACACAAAGAATTAATGGTCCTTTTAATTTTCCCACGAAACACCCCAAGCCATGACAGATTTTCGTCTACTTTTAAAGGTAGGAGCCAAGCAATTAACATTGAACTTTTCTCCAGGATGCCGCCAAACTCTTGGCTGCTGTGACTGCTTTCCAACTTCAACACTGGTTTCATAAGAGAAAATTATTTTCGCCCAATCATAAGCTGATTTATTTTTATTTTCTTCACATCATTTAATACGAGCATGTGCATGTGTTTCCGAGATATAGGGTTTCTTTGCTGCGATACATGAGTTAAGTCCGGAGTTGTGTAATACATTTGCGGCGGTTGATAAACTACAAGTGAGGCCTAAATTGTTGACTATTTCGCGTAGTGGTGCACGTCTTTTTTCGTTGGCTTCACGTATAAGTAACTCCTTTTCTTGGTTGTTAAGGACTGGTGGTCTTCCTGTTCGTTTATATTTGTTAATAAAGCGACGTATCATTGTGGGGTCGCATCCAAGCATTTTTTGCGATTTGAGCGGCATTTGTGGTTTCCATGTATGCCAGAATCTTCCCTTTTTCAATTTCGTTAAGCTGCGTATAGGTGGACGTCAGTTTCTAACCTAACGAAATTATATGACAGGTAAACAAAGTGATGTTTATTATCAAAAAAAGGATAAATCGATTTTGAAAAATGGTTACACGCATAAATTGGGCGATATTTTTTGGGGGGGGGGGGTACTTGTACATACTGTAGAAAAGGGTTCCGAGTACGTATAAGTTATTTGATTATGCGTGAGACTCATTGGCAGACCCATCCTTCCTAGAGTACTTGTACTATAAATTTGGCGTAGAACAATAGAAACTAAGCTTTCTATTTATACTATTTAATGTAAGGAAAAATAGGAAACTGTTTTATTCTTTATTTCGTAAAACACAACGCCAATCGTGTTTAGTACCGCTTGTTTTGACAAAAGCAGCTTGGGCCCGAGAAAAATAAGCTTATCTTTAATCTTTGAACAACACATTTTGAGTGTTCCCTGGTCGGAGGTCGGGGTCCTGAATATGCGTATATGAAAATGTTTTAAGACTATTCACCAATTTACTTGTTGGTGCATTATATGCATTTTTTGTCAACAATATCATGAATTAAATCAAAGAAATACAGTAAATGCTCACAGAACTCACACAAAATCGATTTAATTATTTTGTTTGATCCATTTTTTATTATTTCATATACAGTGGCTCACACATGTAACCGAACACGAAAATTAACTTTCTAGCATTTTTATTTCCATGACTATTAGTTTG